CAGGAAAGTGAACGTTTCACCCCCTCATTTGAGGCGTGCGACCATTAAGTCGCAAGTTGATGGAGTTCACGGCGGTGGCAGAGCTCGAAGCCTTAACCTCCGCCTCGCTCAAACCCTAAAGTTTGGGGGCCAACCAATTGGACCAGAGGCCAGTTGGCTTAATTCATTTTTGTTACTCCAATAATTGGATAAGAATAGTATTTTTTTTTAAAGAAGATCACTGCTCAACATTTAACCTCAGATATGGATTATGTTTTAAATAATTTAGTAATTATTTTTTTTATTAAAAAAAATTTTAAATTTAAATTACATGATATGTGAGTGAAGTGATATGTGACTGAGATGAGATAAGAGATCAAAGATAATTACCCATGCAACTAAGATAAAAAAACATTTAACCTCAAATCAAGATATAATAATCATTAACCATCTAAATAATTTTAGTAATAATTTTTAATTAAAAATTAAAAATTTTAAATTTAAATTACATAATATGTGAGTGAAGTGATATGTGACTGAGATAAGATAAGAGATTAAAGATAATTGCTCATGTAACTAGGATAAAAAGAACATTTAACCTCAAATCAAGATATAATAATCATTAACCATCTAAATAATTTTAGTAATAATTTTTAATTAAAAATTTTAAATTTGAATTTTGATTTTGGTGGGAAGGAATTTGGGAATTAAAGAGGATTATCTCTTTTTATATAATTCATACCAAAAAAACATCAATCTCTTTCTTTTTATTGTTATTGTTTTAGATGAAATCTGAAATTTTCGTTATGTTAAATTCCTCAGAACTTATGTAGGCCCAAACGTTCATGCATTACTAGTGAGTGACGTTAGAAAATTCAATCATAAACAGTGCCTCGATCTCCAGGAACTTATATTTCTTATAGAATTTAGTGATTCTTTATGATCGTTTGGAAGTATAAAATTGTTATAATTGCTGGAGACAAAGAGAGAATTGATTCTGAAAACCTTTTAAAGTTGTAGATCAGCTCACAATATGAATTCCATACATGTTATGTGTTGCCAGCAGTCGCAATTGACAAGCATCACTCGGGAAGCCTCAAGGAAGGGAGAAATTCTTTCGTACAATGAGGTGGTATCTTCGCTTAATAATTTTACGAGAAGACTTTAGGAAGTGAGAAATTCTTCCGTACAATGAGGTGGTATCTTCGTTTTCTCTTTTTTTTTTTATCAGCAAAATAATTTTATTAAGTAGTACAAGGGGTACTCTAACCCATTACATCATTACAAGAGTTGTTTAAGTTACACTACTCAAAACATTCCCACATAATTTTACTAGATGGTTTATGCTTTTTTACATGCTTCCCTG